ATACAAAATACGGTGTCTTCCAATAAATATCTCTGTAAATATAAAAAATATTAAATATATCATATATTATATACGTAAGATAACGGTCTCATCAGATCTCATTAAAACAGAAACTAATTTCCCTACATAGAAATAGTCGCAAGAGTAATGAGTATTTAACTAGTCAAATAAAATAAAATGACTTGAGTCGAGTCCAAAGCATATTATTCTAATATTATAATATAAACAATACAATTATTATTATTGCCTTAGGTTTCTCCTTTAAACCGAGAAAGATCAATAATACATAACCCTATTTACGTAGTGTATTGTATTTACCTCTCATACCGTCTTCATAGTCATAATAATATTATGTTTCTACGATAATGAGTAAATCCGATAAAATATTTCGCATAATTATGTGTGTAGTCAATAATGTTGAATTATGTCACATAGATAAATAACCTATTTATAAACACATGATATTAATTTATTTATAATTAATTAAATTATGTTAAATTTAATTTTGTAATTTAATAATTAATTATTGATGTTAATGTAATAATAAAATTATGTTAATTATTAATTAACAAATCAATAATCAATTAATCCTGTTAGTTGAACAACATTGATCATTAAATTGATAACAATCGATTTATAAGAAATAATAAAAAAAAATAATAATAATTAATTTTCAAATTTTTTTCAGCTTCCTTATATTCCCAATCGCTTCAAAACTCCATTCAACGTCAACCGACTAGTAGCTTATCGACATCTTACACTCCGTCGATTACAGCTAGTCAAGGACAATCTTTTGATTTTGAAACTTTTAAAAGTGATTTTAACTTACAAGAAATCCAAGACGAATCTTCTCAACAAAAATCGCAACAAAATTATAATAATCAACCTCAATCACAGCAGATCTACAGCAGTGCATCGCAATCACAGCCACAAGTTAGTTTTAGCGCTCAAATACAAAGAATACAACAAGGTTATAACGTTCCACAACAACAACCGCAACAGCAACAACAACAACAACGACCACAACTGGGTTACTTACCACCGCAGCGGCAGCAGCAGACTTTTAATAATCCACAGCAACAGCAGACACAGTCTCAAACTAATTATGCTCCACAACAACAACAACAACAACAGCAGCAGCAACAACAACAGCCTCAACCACAACCCCAGTCTAGCTACGGACCTCCAACACAATCACAGTCATTGCCACAACCTCAGCCCAGTTATGGACCTCCACAACAACAACAATCACAACCACAACCAATACCACAACCTCAGCCAAGTTATGGACCCCCGACTCAACAGCAACAACAACCATCAGCACAACCTCAGCTAAATTATGGAACTCCATCGCAACAGCAACCACAACAAAGGCCTCAGCAAAACTACAATGTACCGCAATTTCAGTTGAGTTATAATCCACCCCAACAACAACAGCCATTAGCACAACCTCAATCTAATTATGGACCTCCTCAAACACAACAATCGTTACCACAACCTCAGCCTAGTTACGCGCCTCCGACACAACAACAACAACCTCAAACAAATTATGGCCCACCATCACAGCAGCCGCAATCGACACTACAACCCCAGCCAAATTATGGGCCACCGTCACAGCAACCACAATCATTACCACAACCCCAACCAAGTTACGGACCTCCACCACAACAGCAAACATCTCCACAACCTCAACAAAGTTATGGACTTCCACCACAACCTCAACAACCTCAATCACAACCTCAGCCAAGTTATGGACCTCCGCCACAACAGCAGCAACCATCACCACAGCCTCAACCGAATTATGGCCCTCCGCCACAACCCCAACAACCGCTTTCACAACCACAGCCAAGTTATGGACCTCCGCCACAACAACAGCAACCATTGTCTCAACCCCAGTCAAGTTATGGACCTCCGCAACAACAGCAACCATTGTCTCAACCCCAGTCAAGTTATGGACCACCATCACAACAACAACAACCATTGCCACAACCTAGGCCTAATTATGGTCTTCCTCAACAACAACCATTGCCACAACCTCAGCCTAGTTATGGACCACCAACATCACAACAACAACCTTTGCCACAACCGCAACCGCAATCTAATTATGGACCGCCAATTCAACAACAGCAATCATCACCACAACCCCAACCAAATTGTAACCACCCACAGCAACAACAGCCATTGGCTCAACCTCAACAAAATTATGGATTACCTCAACAACCCCAACAGCCACAATCTACTCCACTATCAACATCGTATGGTATACCAGTACAAAGTACTGCAGCTCCTTCAAGAGATCCTCAACAAACTTACGGTAGTCCGAAACCATCCAATAGTATTTCTTTACAGTCTAACCAACCAACAGTAGTACAGTCAATCAGTTTTGGAATACCGTCTCTGACATTTAATACGCCCACTCAATTATTGGGGTCATCCCAAGGACAACAGAATCAAAATGGGTATTCGTATAGCACTCCTACTGTTCAACCACAACAAAATAATCAATTTCAAGGTTATTCTTACAATCCACCAAGCCAAAAACCAAATCAACAGCCTCAGCAATCTCAACAACCACAACAACCCAGTTTAACATACACACCGACTCAAACACAACCACAACAAAGTGGATATTCGTACAGTTCACCACAATCAGCAACACAACAAAGTAGCGTAAAACCTCCTTCGTCATCTGTACCACAATTTACGTACGGAACACCTCAACTATCTCAAACTTCTCCGCCATTAAATAACTATAGCCCGCCCAAGCCACAAGCACAGCAAAGACCACAAAGTTACATTTACACTGGAGTTCCAGTATCCAGTACACCGAGGCCGATACAACCTCAGCTAGGTTATAGTTATAGCACTAATCAAAATCAGATTACCCAAGCACAATTCAAACCTCAGCAAGCGGTAGCTCAACAAACTGTGGCTGGTGGAGGAGGGTACAGTTATAACAGTCCTTCGATACCGTTCCCAACGCCGACACCACAGGTCAACTCTCAGTCCCAATTCCCGTACAGTGGGTCGACACAATCGCCTTTGCCGACATTCACAACGTCGTCGCCCACACAAGTTTACAGCGCGTCCGCAAACACGCCTTCCATAGTGACACCTAACGGACGGAATTTGAACTATCAATCGTCGTCTCAACTCATTACACAACAGCCAAGCGGTTCGTCGTCGCAGCAATTTAATCAATCGCCATCACAAACTTCGAATAGCTATCTGCCTCCAAAACCAGGCCAATTCGGTGGACAGTCTCAACCGACGATCTACGGATCGCAAACACAACAATCATCAACACAATTACGATTCGACGCGTTCGCAGCACCACAGGCGGTGTCACAACCGTAAACGGCGAACGACTGAACCGTTGTTTTATAATCCGTACCGTAGAAATCACGTGTGTATAATATTTACGGATGGAAATCGCCATCTAGTCTGCCAGTGTCACTAGACTGTTTAAAGAAATATTTATCAGCCATAAAAAACGTGTTAAATATAAAACATTTAATGAAATTTTCTTCTTCTTCATCTTCATCCCAACTGTTTGGGGTATGGCAAAAACATTTAATGGAACAATAAAACCAATTTGATGAAAACGACTCGTAATAATAATAATAATAATAAAAAACATCGGTTTCGATACGACATTCGGCATGAATTATGACATTATGACATGGATTTTATTACAATAACAACTACGAATTAAACTACAAATCAACAAGACAATTTCATTGTAAATACATATTTTCACTTTTGTATTTCATTATATTTTAAAAATTATTGTAATATTATATACCATTTATTTTTCTTGTAAATAGTAATCTGAATTATCTTTTTAAGATTATAAGTATATGTACTGTAAACATGTATAAATATCTTGTATATTTTTAATAAAACAACACTACAAATCGCGGGACTTAGGGTATTACGAAATTGTAATATAGTAAAATGTTTCGTTTTGTGCTAATATGTATACGTTACCCAAAATTGTATTGTGAATTCTCAATTTGAGGAATCGGTCAGTTATAAATGTTATTTCGTGTAATTGAACATTTCAAAGTCAACAAATGTAAAATTATTTAATTATAAGATCTTGTGATAACATTTGAAACCAAATATCACCAGGTACAATATTATTCATAATATAAAATGTAATTCTAAATATGATTTTTGTCTTTTATAACCTACCTATTTATTTAAAGGTCAGTCATGTATACGAAAAATAAATGCGTAGTATAGTCATATGTGATTTTCAATCTTAGCCGCTAAATAAATAATACATATACTGTTTTATGAATCGCCCCCAGTCTTGTTCGTTTTTTGTAGACAAATATACATTTATTTAAATTTGTATTTTCTTTTTACTATTTACTTTACTGATAGAAAATATTGTGTAGAAATACTTACCAGGATTTCTAATCGTCGTCCCTATTTCTTCCTGTACATACTTTAATAATCGCATATCGGCGTGCTCCTACTCCGTTGGATCATATAATAAATATAAATGTGTACTTACGAGCACACTCAACTAAAATTTCGTCTTCCGTTTTATAGAATAAAAATATATATACATTATACATAATATCGTATTAAAAATATTATTTGGCATACAGACCGGAACAAAGCAATTTCACGTTGCAATACTTAATGGCTAGTAACTAGTGGTTTCCGTCGACCATCAATTTAGCTCTAACCAGCAAACTATCCATCACCTTACGTCTCCAAGATGTTACGTGACGTAACCAGTGGTGTATTGGGGGGGGGGTTACGGTAATATACTATGTATACGCAGTACGATATTTTTATCTATGGCGTATGGCTTATGGAAAATTGACGACACGGTCGTATCTACAGGTTACAGGTTACATTAATACAGGTTATTGATATCCCCGTGGGCGTGATGTCACATAGTATTTTTAGAAAATATAACTATAAAAAGTAATACTATAAGTAATGTAATGTATTATACTCAAAGAAGATTAATATAATACAGCATTGCTTCGTTTGCCCGAGTGTTTTTAAACTACTTCAGCGTTACTGTTTCACACAACACTATCCTTTCTCTGCTGTGCCGTAGACGTCGTCACAGGCGCCTACACGGTGTTGATCTTGACGTCATTTATGCCCAGGATATGGTTTATTCTTTCGTTCGGTTTGTCGAACAAGTGGGTGATCATGTCAGCGCAATATTGGAACAGAGTTTTCCTCCGGGGCGCACGTACGGAACGTGAGAATACCATCCGATACATACCTATAGAATGATCTGATTTTATTTATAACTCTACAACGATGATTTTTTGTTATTCACCCGAATCGGAAATCTCATCTAAAGCTCTATCCTTCTGTGTTGTAGGCAGCATTTCAGGCATCTCCCCGGCGATGGTCTCGTCATCAAACATGCCTATAGCCTGCATTGACCCTCCGAGTGAGTCGTCATAGTAGTTCAAGTCAGTGTTCAAAGCATACTGGTCGACCATCAGACTACCTAAACGAAAATCAGATCGAACGAAATGTCAACGGAATTTTTTTTTTAGAACACTTTAACGATGATTTTTCCAAAATTTACAAAAACCATCGTGAAATGAGGGCATGGTCGTCAGTTCTCCTTCGTGTGGCGTGGGCGTGGTCATCAGTTCTACTTCCTGTTGCGTGGGTATAGTCGTTCGCTCTTCTTCTTGTGGCGTAAACGTTCCGAGGAATACCGAATTTATCATTATGTTATTCACGCAACGTAACCATTCGTAATGGGACGTTAATGTACTGTTGAGAAATAACCACCTGCAAACAAAATGACCGAATTCACTAAACTTTCGTCTCGAATGTGATTACCAAGCGAGGTCCAATTTATACTAGATACTGAACAGCGTGTATTTGGAATAAATTATTTTACAGCTCTAATTTTATACCAAATATACATATTACAGGTTAAGACCTACTTTGTTGCCCACGAGACGGACACCAGCGTGAACAGCGAACATAGCATGGCCACGGTCCGGAAAGGAAATAATTTTTGTACCCCCATCCAGTCGGGGAAATATATCAAAGGCTTGAGACCCGGTTTAGGTTCGCCACAAGCCACCCGGATGGAAAATCCGACAATGTACGCAGCCAGCGACCCGTACGTATTGCAATAGTGTTTGAAATGTACGGCCATAATTAACTGTGGGAACAGGATAACGTAAACGAAGTCAGAGCACACACCTAACCACAGTCCGTAGATGGACTGCATGGAAAAGGCCGTAATCGCAGCGGTTAAAACGACGACCACTATGAACCACCGCAAGACACACACAATCTCCGACTTTGACGCCTGAAATATTAATTTCGATTAACAATAATCGTTCGGTCGTATACTAAATATATCGTTGCTATTCTCGTTGTAGTCGAGTCTCGTCGTCCGAATATTGTTTAATGGAACGAAACTGCGTGTTATCATGCCAAAAATATTATACAATTTAACTATAAAGTATACACACTTACCTTTGAAACCTATTCAGGGTGTTCTACCGTGTTATCTGAATGCTAATAACTATATCAATGTTCATTTTTTTTTTTCAATCGAGTTTTAATTAAAAATGCATTTAAAATGTTAAAGAATGCTCTAAAAAAATAATGTGTCAAGAATTCCAAAAACTCAAAATAAAAGTTTCATATTCAAATTCTTTGATACATGAAACGAATTTTGTGTTTAGAAATCATTGCTGTAGGACATTCTGTCATGGCGACACAAATGTAGAGAATAATTTATTTTCATCCCTTTTCCATCGTTAAAAAATAAAAATATTTGGTTTGTTTTTGACTGGTGTTTCCACACAAATTTTCTAGAAATTAAAATGGCTATTGCTAAGAAACTATTGATTGAATATGTAAGTGTGCTAAGTAAAAATGTTTAGAATAATATATTTTAAAAATTGGTCATTTTAAACATATAAAAAAGTGAAAAATGAAGTCTTTAATAATTAAGAAATGAGAATAAACATTTTTCCCCTATATTTATTTTTCTCTGACGAAATCCGATTGAAAAAAAAAAAAAATGAATATTGACAGAGTTATTAGCATTCTGATAACTCTATAAGACACCTTGTGTTATAATTATTCGATTTAAATAGTTATTACGAGATATTTTACTAAAAACAAAATATATGATTTAACTTACGTTTCGACGTAATAACTTCGAATAAATATTTCGTGCGAACATCGAACTGATAGACAGAACACACGCATCGGACGAAGATATTAAAGCCACAGCAATCGCGACCCGTGCGAAAAGTGATACCATCTCTGGAGTTAAATCCAGCATGGCCGTAGGCAAGATCGTGCCAGGTGCCTTTGAAGTCATCGGAAAGGCCCCATCGTATATTTTCGACTCATTCAATACTTTAGACCAACAGATAATAATATTCTAATATTATTAGACTAGTGATATTGGAATATTTTTAATTTTCTGAACAGGTTTTGATTTTCATATTCTCGTTTAAATATTTAAGTAGGTTATTTGTAAGCGTACTATATAAAACACATATTTATACACACCGGTTGCACTTGCGGCTATTCTGATGATAACTAACGGTATTGAAATGATAAAACACCCAAATCCTGCGAAGTATGAGAGTGCTTTGGCTTGCAAAGTTGATTTTTTGGACAACAACCGTTGAAAGTAAATCTGCCACGGAATTCCGCTAAACACCAAGAGTAACGCGTAATCAATGTAACTAAATAAATCCTTTGACTCGATCTCGCTAATCAGTTCCAAACCGAGCTTGTGTGAATCCACTTTATCGTTTTTCAGCGCATACGGCACGGTCAACCACTATAAAAGTTACAATTAATAATAATAGCAATGCAACAAAATCCGATATATGATTTCGCGCGAGTTTATTTACGATATTTTTTTATAATTTTAATTTTGAAATTATTATCACGGCATATTTGAAAAGAGGGGTGGAGATGGACGCAGCTTTAATGTTCCTTCGTAAATTGTAAAAGTTGGAGAATTTTGAAATTTTATAATTCGGAATATTTTTTCTCTATAAAGCAGTAAATTCGGAAATGAATATATTGGAAAACTGATTTATAAAGCAATTACGGATATTATGGGTATGTCGTACCAATCCTATAAATATGGCGAACAGTTGAATGACGTCCGCATAGGCAGGGCTGTCCATATTTGGAAAAATCGTATTAAACATTACGATGCAACAGCCCAATATTACACTGGCATACTGGTCAGATTTCGTTATATCGCTCAACGTATCTCCTGTATATCATACGTAAATACATTATTTAAAAGGTGTAACCAAAACAATGTATAGAGTGTCCCATTGATTGCATCGGATCTAGAATTTCTTGATATTATTTTTTTTTTTTTTTGTATATTGGCTGACCTGTTTTTCTTATCATTATAGCTCCGCAATGAAACGACGTAAAGGTATTATCGATTTATATTGCTTTATTATTGATTTATTTTAATTGTTACTAATCCTCTCTTTGCAATTAACTATTCAAGAACGCGTTTTGATTGTTGAGACTTTTATTGCTATAATGCAAGTTACTCATTAGCAGCCTCATTCCGGCCCATTTTCTGTCTAATATTAGACTGTTTAGGCATAACTTTAATTATGACGATGAAAAGTCTAATCAATCAAAACGCGTTCTTGAATAATTAACCGCATCATGGTTACAAACGGTAGGATAGAAACAGTCAAATAAATAAACAAATAAATCAACTAAACAAAATAAATTGATAAAACCTTCACAGCGTTTCATTTCGGAGAGTTTATAGATGATAATGATAACAAAAAAAGGTCAGTCAACATACGAAACAAAAAAATAAAGAAGCAATTTGAATCCGACGTTCTTAGGGCCACACTATTTTTTATTAAACAAAAATATTGTATACCCAAAGCGCATAATAATTTGGCGAACCAAAACACTTCACCACACAGCGCTGGAAAAAACAACAATCCTCCCATATGTTCGCCAAAATGACATTGAAGCGGATCCAACATGGTAACATAATTATGCTTGCGCATCGAACCGGCGAAACATATTCTACCTATTTTTTTTTTTTTTTTTCATCAACATTAATAATTATTAATATCGGTGACTATGAAATGTAAATGGCTAGGTTAGGTTAACGCATATTCGTTATCAATATGTAATTATAATAATATGTACTATAATAATATAGTATACTATACCATACTGTGATTATTATTTAATTCCTATCAAATAGTGAAATTCGATCATGAAAATGTTATTGGTTGGTTAAAACGGTTTGAAAACGTGAACTCGTTTATTTTCGATGATTTTATAAACCAAAACGTATAGTCTACTGCGTTTTTAAAAGATCAAAGATGTTTAAGTTTAACCGTCTAGACGGTTAGGTATAAATACGGAGAACGTTTTAGTTATTTTTACTGAATTATTTTAGATTCTGAGTGGAGCGAAAAATATATTGGTTTTACAAAGATGTTTATTTATTTTATTATGTCAACATTTTTTTAATAGAAAGCTTACTCCGATTTGTACGATATGTAGACCCTTTTCTGAAACAAATTTTCTTGGGGTGGTACTTAAAGAGGTAATTTTTCGGTTTTTTTTCATCAAATATGAAAAACCGAAAAAAAACAAGATACTGTACGAAATTTAATAGAAAAATATTATAAAATAAATACATAAATAAAAAAATGTGTGTATCGAAATAAAAAATAACAAATATAAGGATGAATGCATCGCCAGGAGTATTATGATAAGTGTATACGACCGGTTTCAAATTAAATATTCATTATCAAGTATATCACAGTCAAAATGTAAAACGCGTTATACATTTTTTATTTATATATTTAATTACGAGAATTAAACATTTTTTACAATTTTTTTTCCACCAATTTTTCTCTTCAATTTTTTTTTTTTTTTTTTTGATGCATTGAAAGCACATTTTTAAAAGAAAATCTGACTGGGAAGGTACATAAGGGATGTGATTTCTCGATTTTCCCAAGAGTTTTCCAAGAACATTTGAAAAATCGGGATTAAACATGGGAAAACCAGGAAAAACGTAGAAAAACTGGGAAAATCAGTACAGTATTAAACAAATATATAATGCCTATTTAATTATTTTACTATGATATGACATATATATTGTTCACTAAGCATCACTATTAATTGAACTCCACCCAGAATCGTTTTTTTGGTTAGCAATGGTTTATCGTTGTTAACAGGAATATATAACATAATTCATATTACAACGAACTGTTTTTATTTTTTAAATTCTATTAATTATATTATTATTAAAAAATATATTGATAATATACAATGTTATATTCGTATACAATATCTTACCAAAAACCAAGCTTAAAGCGTACCAGAACGGGGCCAGACACCACAGCAAAACCGATGTATGATGAATCCCATTTTCCGTCTTGATATTATGTCCTGTTTCAATCCAGGTCACTAAAACAATAATAATTATGGTAATGCGAACAACACGATAATGCTACTATGGGATAAAATACGGTGGGAATACTCGAATGCCGGGCGTAATATAATTACCTGCCATGGTACATATTATGCCGACGAAAAACCCGAAGTTTCCCAACATAACTTCCAGCGCCAAAATTATGGTGCGTTGTTTCTTCTCGGACCATAATTCCAACATAATGAAGATAGAAGAGCAGAAAACTACGAATATCACTTCTATGTAGTCCATTTTCTACAGCAAACCACTATAGTTTATTTTATATTTAAAATTATTGACCAACATGCAATTAATAATATAAGGCGACCAATTTAACAATAAATTTACCAAAGATTTTTTACGATAGGTTTCGAATTTAGATTCCAAGTGGAAGGCGGAATGTATTGGTTTTATAATGATGTTAAGTTTTTTATTTATTTAATTTTACGAAGAACTTTTCTATCGGATATTTTGCTCTGATTTTCAATTGTAGCACTTTTTCTGAAAGCAAATTTGTACGAGATGGTACTGTAAACAGTTTATTTTCTGATTCAGTGTTTCATACTACATGGGAAAACTGGGAAAAAAGGTAGAAAAATCGGGAAAATTTACGAAATGTATTATTTTCAAATTGTAAATATTACGTCCTTTCAAAACGTATTCATTTTAATCAACCGAACTCCGCTCAGAATCGTACTTCGTAAGCAAAGACTTATCATTGCGTATTAATATATATTAAATTTCGCTCTATATACCTACTAACTTTTTAACTTTGAGTTACCAGATTATTACTGCTCATTAAATTAACATCTCCTTCCGTACCTATGAGTAAATTGGTTATTCCTTTAACACATTGTGGTACCTAATATGTAGCATGATTGTTTATTCATTAGATTTTAAATGTTAGGACATTTAGTTTTGGGCTATTTTTTTCAGTTCGCGAACCGAACGAATTTGACCGATGCTATGTCGTTTCCCCGCTGTTTATATGTTTTTTTTATCTGGAGAGTAACATATTATTTCGACACTTAAAGCATTTGCATTTAAAACTTTAACAATATGACCGTGAATTATTTCCGTGGTCCCTCCTGTAGATTCCAGATCTCCAAAATTTTGTTTTGAACTCCCGATACAGACGGAAAATAAATTGACGAATTGAGACATAGATTTGTGGTTTTGTGGCATCGACAAAATGAACACAAAATTAGCTTTTTCTAAGACTTCTTAAATCATTAAAATGACACAAATATTAAGGAGCAATTACATATTTGACAGTAGTTATTTCTCTAGGTGTTGTACACAATGCTGTATATTGTTTTTCATTAAAGATTTTACAAATTATACTTGACGTGTAAATCATAGAATTGAAAATTCGAATGTGAGAAACTGTATGGTAATTAAAAGTTAATCCTTTGGTTTCTAGATTTAGTATAATTTCATCAGTTTCTAAATTGGTAAAAAATATACGTACCGAACTGAATAAAGCTGCTTCTTTGGCGTTTTATGATTTTTCGTTTTTAAATACTCTGTTTTGTTTGACCGCCCACCTTGACTAACAGAAAACGGACTATAGCTAGTTGTACAATACACTTTATAGTCATTATCACTGATGATGCCGAACCCATTTGTTAGGGGTGGTTGCCACACCTAATTTGATAAAAGTATATAACCCATAGCATTGATAATTAAGTATAAAATATTGTACATTTTACAATTAATATAAAGAGGCAATATACTTAATATTACAAATAACGTGAACTAGTCAATTTCTAGATTACCGTACCGTGTACTGTGTGACTGTGTTAGTAAAAGCATTTATTTACTATTTCACTATAACTATTACGATAACTATTTAATTAATAATACTATCGTTTTATTTTATTTTATTTTTAAAAATATAAACAGACTAGTGTCCCATTACATAATTCAATATTGTGGTACATAATAAAAATTACATTATTTTTAGTTAATAACATAATGTGGTAACATTACTAAATTAGAAATATATATAATGAATTAAGAACTACTAAAATAAAAAATAAATTTTTAAAAATAAATATTAAATAAAAAAAAATACATAAGTTTTACCAGAGTTCTTCAAAATGTTAGGAAGGGAATCCAAAATATAATTTTTGTTCGAGAAAACTGTGTAAAATAGCAAGGTGTTACTGGTATTAAGTCTATTTAGTCTAAAATTGATTAAAGACAACAACTTTAGACATTCAATGAAGCCAGTTAACAATTTGTGAAAAAATTTTGTTAAGATTGTACGATGTTCTTACAATGAAATAACGATGAAAATCGAAAAAAATATATCTAGGAGAAAGTTTTTTACAGGCGGTAAGAAAAAAAATACATAAATATCATAGTAAAACCATAAGTATTTTCGCTCCGCTCAAAAGTAGTGGTAGTGTGGCATGTCGAAGAATAATACATTGAATACTTGTCTCCTTAATGGGATTCCTAAAACGTTTAGTAGTCTGTTCTCTAAAACATCTTTCATTTGTTGATAATTATAGACTTCTATAAAATATTTTCTAAATTAATTATTGCTTTTCTCAGATTGACCGGTTCAAATTGTTTCCCCCGTTAGTGATCTGGATTCAAAAATGTTATAATTTAAAATTCATAATTTGTAAAAATACCGTTTTTTTTTTTTTTTTGTTTCATGCTAAATAATTTTTTTTTTATTATCCTAGAAAATTGATAATGATATAATATAATGTTTTATTCGTGTACAATAACTTACCGAAAAGCAGGCTTAAAGCGTACCCGAACGGAGCTTGACACCACAGCAAACCCGATGCGTATTTACGCTTCAGCCGTCCCATTAATAAATCCACCTACGACCCAAGTCGCTAAAACAATAATTATAGTTATGCGATTAATACGTTAATGCTACTGTGTAATTATATACAATACGAGTACTTGAATGCCAGTTGTAATATAATTACCAGTCATGATAAGTATGTTGACTAAAAGCCCGATGTTTCGTCCCGCCAACATAACTTCCTCCTCTAAATTCCCGGTGTTCATTTTCATCCCGACCCATAATTCCACGGTAAGGAAAATACAATAGAATAAAACTGTGGATGAGTTATGAACTTTCTTCGAAAACTTTTTGTTTCCCACAACACCTTCATAAAAATTTTTTCAAGATTTGTTTTAATTATAAATAATTTTTTGTTAGTTTTTTTCGTGACACTTCACGTGTTGTAATGACGGTAAAAATACTTTCAATAGCCGCATTAGAAACCGGCAGGGCAAAACAAAACTTCACTACTTTTATAAAAGAAGAATATTCTTCTCTGGTCTCTGATATTACTTTTAAAATACACCACCATTTAGCTTCTAAGTCTTGTTTGTGTCATTCATCGTTTTGTTTATCAAATATTTTTGAAAAAAAACTTAAATTTCTCAAAATATATTTCTCCGTCAACATATTACACGTATTGCATGTAAAGTCGAAGAAATTAATATAATCGAATTTTTGGCATTTTCCAACATAATTACCGATTACAGTGTTAATGTTACCCATAACATCAAATTTAAATCTAAATTAAATGTATATTTTATCCAGTCTAATTTTTCAAATAATCATGAAATAGCTCATCAAATTTATTACATTTTTTTTTAAATATATATATATATATTTATGACACCGTTATTTTAAAGTTGCACTGACCAATTTTAAAATTTCTGTAGTTAAAAATGGTTCGTGTTTTTTGATTTCCATTTTTTTGATAAGATTTTCTGTAATAATCATTATCTCGAATGCTAATTTGACATTCCACTTTGTTTTATATGATTGTCAATAATTTTTTATTGACTGTTTGCATTGTCAATATTTTAAATCATAACAGTGAAAATTTGTCTTCGAAAAATGTTTTAAGAATATGAGGACAAATTTTATTAAGATAGAAAATATCATTTAATCCTATAACAATCGATAACATCGACATAAGTAAAACCTACGTAGAAAATAAAGATGGTTTTCTATGTATTCCTCAAGATAGCTGCCATAAAAGTATTTAGAGATTCCTCAAAAAAATCTATATTTTTTACTATGTTACCTGCAGACATAAAATATTGATTGGAGAATTTTGCATATAATTTGTAGTTGAATATTTTGTGTAAAATAAATTAAGAGATCGACAGTTTATTGGATTAATTAAAAAATGTATATTTTACAGTAATTCAGGACAGTATATCATATTATTTAGTAATTTTTACAAATATTTAAATTTAATTTGCATGGAACGCTGTCCTAGTGTCTGAATATTAAAAAAATGGACTGTAACATTATAATTAGAATAAGGGCATTCTATAAACAAAACACTGGTAACATAAAAATCTAATCAAATTATTTTGTTTAAATCTTGGATTTGTCTTACTAAATATGGATGCTAGAGTACTAGTGCATAATCAAAGTGTGAACGGACTAAAGATTAATATAATATTTTCAATGCGGATTCATCTCTCAAATATCGACAGATGCCTTTTAAAAAATCTAATTTTTCAAACGCTTTATTCCTAATAAAAAGTATATGGACATTGAAAGATAATTTGGAGTCAAATTTTACTCCAAGATCGTAGACTGTAGAAACTCTTAATACATTTGTATTGCCCAAAGAATAATTAAATCGTATAGGCAATCTTTTCAAGGAAAGAGTAATATAGGAACATTTTTTTTTAAATTTAAATGCATAGCGTTTTGTTTGCACTATTTATGTATATTTTTAAAATGTTTGTATCGTCGTCTAATAATATAATTTTAGAATGAGAAATAACTTCGGATTTATCATTTATGAAAAGACAAAAAAATATAAGAGATAAATGATCGCCTTGGGGAACGCCAGAAGTAATGAAAATTTATTCAGAGAGATAATTTATGTATTTGTTTGAGTACGATCAGAAATAAAAGAGTAAAACCAAGAGGGAAGTGGTTCAGTGAATCCATACATTTTAAGTTTGTTGATTAATAATTTATGATTAATTCTATCAAAGGGTTTTTTTATACCGGTACAAATAACATCAATTTGTGAATGATTTGTAAATGAATCTAGAATTGCTTGTTTAAATATATATATATAAATTTGTTATTGTTTATCTATTTTGCCATGTTGGCTATTTGATAATGATTTATTGCATAAAGGAGTAAGAATATTGTTGATTAGTTTTGAGAATAATTTAGTTATTTTCGACAATTTAAATGCGAGACGGTAATTATTTATTAAACATTTGTTTTCTTT